CATAGACTTTTACGTACTATATAAACACCCTAATAACCAGTTGTGTACAAATTTCAAGCAAGTTGCCAGCAATAAAGTACAAATGTTGTCGGAAAAACCATAGCCATCTATTTCCGTATTGGACTACGGTTTTGTAGGCAACGCTAGTTATCAACATAGTAAAGCAAATTGGCAGAAAGTCTTGCAACAAGATCTATGTCAAATTGAGGGCAAAACCGGTACAAGGTATGCGCAAGCCAATTTGCTGCATATGTTGCTGTCAATATACTTGTCAATCAAACTTGTAGCCATAACTTTATAACAGGCATTGAACAAAATTTAGCTTGGCAAGTTTAGCTGACTGGGCAAATGATTATTTCAAAATAACCTAATCAAAACATTTTTGTTACAAAGAAGCTGTTGGGACATGTATAGGGCCAGATTTACGACGAAAACCTATGTTTAGTTATTTTAAACCAACTTAGGGGTTAGGAGCCCTACGTGTCCATGTATTGATGTACGATGTATGATGCCGTATGATCCGACGGGACCCATCACTCCTCGTGGGCCTTAACCTAGCGACATCAACCCACACACTCGCCATGTGGGTGATAGGAGCAAACCTCTGATAAGACGGTCTAGACTAGTGATGAGCATCATCGACTAAATTAAACTATCGACTAATGACTATTTAGTCGATAGTTTTTAGTCGACTGAAATTTTGCTTTATAGGTTATGTATAGATTATATCGTCAACTTTTCAGCACCATTGGTGTATTTACTTTTTAGAAATGTATTAGTTCATAGATAGAATTTCAAAAATATAAGTGGTAAACAAGTTTTTTTAAACAATCACTAATATTCGATTTTTTGTAAGCTATTTAATATTGGCACTTAAAAAGTTAACTGCTCTAAATTTTGTATGAAGATCAATTAGGTTATAAGCAATAATTTGCACAGTTCTTCGTAATGCATAACAAAATATATGGAAAAATTACAATTCGTTTGCATCGCGAAGAAAACAATCAAGATCCAATCAATAGCGATCAATAGCTCGATAGTTCAAGCGACTAATATTAGTCGCCTGAAAGTAATCGCTTCAAGCAACTAATATTAGTCGCCTGAAAGTAGTCGTTGGTTACTATCGACTTAGTCGATAGTTTTTATTCGATGGTGCCCATCACTAGTCTAGACTATGTAGGAGCACTGAATCCTCTAATTTGAAAATTGTGCTGCCACACCCCCCTCTCCCCCTCGTACGAATATCATATAAAAGGAATCACGCGAGAAGACATAAAACAGGTACTCGAAAAAGATGCATGCATGATGCACGTGGATTTTAAATTTAGTAAATATAGTTCCAACATCATTGGATCTGAATTTTGTAGAAGTACAAGCAAGGGTCGTAACAGAGGCTATTGTCTGCTGTAGTCGTATTTCTTCTCGAAGTGAAGGATCCACGCTTCAAAATTGAATTCAACAAGAATTGAATATTTCTCAATGTTTTCAGGGTGGTGTAACACCAATTTAATATACTGTATGGTTGTGTAAATAAATGTTCCATAGGTGTTGATGATTTGATTTGTAAATTTTTGATTTGATTGTAAAACGTGATTGAAGAAAAAGAATAAAAATATCTGTTTCATTTTATTGGGTTCTACAATTATATCAGTATAAGTAGTTTACCAGTATATGTAACTGTATACCATTAACAAGAATTGTAGACAATGAAAAATAAACAGCCAAGCAGAAAAAAGTTGGTTTTGCTTTATCGACCATCGTACAGCTGGCTCCGATGGCGGTATTAATTGCAAATGCCAACTCTTATTTAAATTTCAGATGCAATTAGATTCATTTACTCTCGGGAGCAGCAATTATTCAACTTGCAGGGCAAAGCTGAGCTAGAATCCTGTCGTGGTGAAAATTTTCTGAATAAATCAATCGTTGGCGGTGGTGATGCACAAATCCTGGCCGACCTCGCGAGCCTTGTTTCTACTTTAGATTCTGGCGCTCGTGCCGCCCGTCCCACTTCACCAAGCAATTTACGATCCCGATAACTAGCATTTTATTCATGGAACGGACGTTTTTCCTCTTTCTGGTAACTAAGCGTCGGTCATTGTCCGAGGAATCAACATGTAACCGTAGGTTCATCGACTGCTATTGTAAAATTACGCAAAGAAGTTAAAATATAAGTACTTACTAATAAAGTCCACGTGTTTACCAGAACTGTAGAACAACAAAACAACTTCCGGAGCCCTTAATCCCGATATTGGTTTAAAATAACTGAACATAATAGGTGACTGTGTTTCTAAAAAAATGATGCGTTCCGAACGTTCGCATTGTAAACCAGCATCCTGACACATAAATACATTTTGAATGCTTTTGACCAAGCAGTATAATTGACGACATAAAGTATTAAAGAAAATGAGATAAAATATAATGGTTTGTCCATGATAGAGACAAAATTTCTGAGAAAACATGTACAGTAACATCCTGCTTAACCGGCTCCTATGGGACCAGACCTCTGGATGAGTAAACGATTGGCCGATTAATCCAACATGTATCAGCAGTCAACCAACTATTCAGTACCAATAAATTTAATATGAATAGAAAATAAAATTAGTAAGAGATGATACAAATAGACAAAAAGTAAATTCAGTCCAAAGAGAGTGAATAATTACGGAATATGTCAATAATTTTTTTTCTGGTCATTTGTGTTCATATCAAAGAAAATGTAACCCTTTAAAACGGAGACTGGTTAAAGCAAGGCCGGATAAACGGGAGCACTGTAATTAATACTAACATGAATATGCCCTTAAATATATTAATAAAAAAGTGAAAAATCGTCGATGTTTTGTGCGTCGTCAACTCGTAAGTCGGACGCTAGTACGATTCGACTTCCACTAACGAAACCCTAAATGCGTGGATTTTCTTTTGAATTTATCTAGGGTTGTCTGTAGTGATAGGCGTTCGAAGCTCAATTTAGAATTAAAGATACAACTTTGAATACAATTTTGTGATTACATAAATAATAAAAGTACTAAACATGTTTTCTCAGAAATTTTGTCTCTATCATGGACAAACCTTTATATTTTATCTCATTTTCTCTCAACGTTAAAAGTTTCTGAAGTATACATATATGCAAACAACTACGTAATAAGTACTGTAAACTACATTTTCTTTAATACTTTATGTCGTCAATTATACTGCTTGGTTAAAAGCATTCAAAATGTTTTTGTAAGATACTGAATATTCACCAAACTTTCTAGACCTATAAAAACTGAAAAGACTTATAAAAACTTGCAGGACCATCAAAACCTATTGAAACTTTAAAGGTTCAAGGTTGAGTATTCACAAAAGAACGTCTATTTTCATAAAATTTTTGGATAATAACCAAACGTTCTTGAAGCGTGTATTTAGCCATGATAAATTGTCAGAGTATACTAAACACAAATGCCAACTCGTGACAGTTGTAACATTTTATACGTGGTTGCCATTTCATTTCAAAATCACATCATTCTTATTGGAAAACCCTTTACATAGGAAGGGAGTGGATAAATCGAATCATTCATAGAACTGATCGAGAACTTTAAATGAAGTTGAAAACTGATCGAAGTTGATCACGCATTACAGCCTACTACCAACATTCTGAACTGATAAACAGGGCTTTTCACAGTGTTTGACGGTCGATCCTCATCGTTCACGAGGATAGGTTTGTTAGAGACCGGAGCAATCGGTTTTCAGAGGTTGCTCTCTGGCTCGATTTGTGAGATTATCATACGACCGGCTATTATGCGGAGTAAACGATGGCCCCGCGTGTTCGAAGCTTGCCGAGTACTCTGATTGAAATGCACCCGGTAATTTCCGGTTATTTGGCGCATACAGTTATGCCCACGACTCGATGTATTAGACTGCTATGACGCCGGTAACGTTTGATACGACGTAGAACACGTCCATTTACCACGCACCATTTCCAGTCCCCGTCAGATGTGTGGTACGGGAAAACAGAGAAAAGCTGTCGTAATTACGCGAACACCGTGCTGTTGCGATAAGTGTTGCAAATTTACATCGAAAATTATATCGGTAAATCTGAGTGGATGTACAAGCATGTCCAAAGTAATAGCTATTGTTTTACCATGTAAAGACTTGTTCTGGCGTGAAGAATAGTAACAAATATTTATGTAGTTAACAAATGATGTTACATTATAAGAATTATTAGTGGGATTAAAATACTGATAAAATTAAAATGGGAGAAATTACTAATGTAAAAGTACATTGGAAATACGGAATCCTTTTTTTCTATGCAAACCTTTTTTCGAGAATGTCTACTTTGAAATTTCGTTGCGCAATTCTTGATTGGAGGGAGACCGTAGAGGGATAGAGGAAGACGGTGAAAAGATAGGTTATAAATACCTCCTTTCTTTTTAATGACGTGGGAAACATTTCATACAACCTTGAATTAATGTACTTCTAAACCAATTTTTCTATTTACATTCCATATGTTGTAAAGAGACTTATTTGCGATGTCGAATGCTCGTCAATATAAAAGTCAATTTTACACCGAAAGAATTGATTTTAAGACATATGCTGATTAGACGTTTTTTTATGCCCTTTTTTTTACCATCCTGTAGATTCTAATCCAGGTAGAAATAATTAGCAACGGTTAAACAAATACTCTAAAGTATGCTCACGTGTACGCATACCAAGTGACAATTCAAATTCGATTTTCTCCAAAAATGAATTTCATGCGAAAGAAATGTCATTCTAAATTTTCAATTAGTAATTAGTTTTTTGTGTAATCTCATTGGTATGATCAAGAAATAAGCGTTCGATATACATGCATATGGAACTTGTTCACATCTGAATTTCTGCAAACGGATACGCATCATTCATAATGTGTCACGATTCATGTGACATTCTGTGATAAATATTCTACATTTGTCCAGAAGATATTAATAGTACTTCCTAAACTTATTGATTTAAGTTACTAAATATTGATAACGTAATATTAAGTTACTTACATTAATGAGATCCAGTTTTTCATCATCTAGCCTGTAACATAAAAAGAAAAAGATATGTGAATTTATTAGAGAAACATGTAAAACCAGAAATAATAGTGACATGGACGTTATGACGCAATTATTTGAACTTCGTTATACGAAAGTTACTGTAACAAAGTTAGAACTTTGATAATACATATAGGGGGTGATTCAGCGGAGACAGAAAATTGTTTTCCTGCCGGTATGCCAAACCAACCTCTTTCCGAAGTTTCTGATAAAACCGCCGGGCCAACTAATTTACCACCTAATTTCCGGAATAGAAATTCTAAATGAAAATTCGGAAGCATATAACTATGAGTGATTATGTTTGGTAGATAGATGTTATGCGAGTTTTCGAATAAACAGGACAGTACATAGGAATTGCTAACAACAATTTATAAAAATATTTGGAAATGTCAATCAATTCAAAAAAATTAACAATGTAAATAAAATTATTTTTAATGTATAAAATAATAATGAAAAAAAAATAAAATGCCTTTGAAGAGAATTAGAGTGTACAACATACACATGAGTGTACAACATACTTATTATTAAATAAGAACTTTCAATGCACACTCTTTTCTGCCCGATTATCGAATAACAATTGAGTCGCTGTTGTCTACCACAAACAACTAGAACACGATCTAGAAAGACGAGTTTCTTGTTTTAAAATTTTTTCGTTGCTTTTACTACACGTTGTTTAGCTTCGAGCTTGTACAACACTCGCGTAAATGTTCAAATACTTTAGTATTATATGGTTACAACTATAGTAACTAAGAAAAATACGAAATGAATAGAAATTGGGACATTTACCTTATGCTCTTTTAGATATGGAGAGTGAACTATTGTTAATCTGTTTCATGCCTGTAAATAAATTGCTACGAGCACGATTGAGATCGTGTTCCAGAATTCCACGCGTAACAATGAGATCATCATTACATGATTCGCTAGAAATACTCTTGTTATTACGTTTTCACAGACAAGACATGCCTTATCGGCGTTTTCAATTAATTCCTACATAGAAACGCATAAAGACGAATTGCAAAGATCATGGGATGGCGCATCAACAATTTCATTTATTTAAACTTCGAATTAAATAGAATAGTTAGACGTCCATAAACTGTCACGAACTACCTTATCGAACGTAATTCATTAAATTGTATGCCTATACTTTACCTATACTATACCTATAGTTTTCGGATTTATAGTTTCGCAAACCGCAATAAAACCCTATAACATGTATACGTTCTCTTCAACAGAATGTTTATTACAGTATTATTACACATAAAGATGATAAACGATATTCAGTACGTCACTTTTCAAAATACTGATAGTATGGACATTAGTAATACTATCTTCATTAAATTATTGAGCTTTATTATTTTGGTGGATCATTATGAAATTTTGCACCTGTTAGTGCTAATTATACTGAAGACTTTCAATAGTACATTCTCGTCGTAGTACTAGTGCATTGTTAGTAATAAGTTATTAAATAACTTGTTTCTTTATATTTGAACTTATTTCATCTAATAGAAGAAAATACTTTAGATAAACAGCATAATTAACTAAGAATTATTTTTATGCTATTATTCCTGGTGTATTTTTATGTAATTCGAGAAAGACAGAAAGATTAAGTTTCATCACGAAAAACAAAACACGAACACCAAAAAGCAAGGTACAATTGCAGTTATGATCTTTAGGGTATACATAAAAAATTATCATTTTCAATTGTATCTAACACATTACAATATTTTTTAGTAGTAAACAATCTTTCAAATGGTAAAAAGATGTAGGAGAATTCATTGACATTGCAATAGTAGTTAACATAATACATTAGACTATTAGAACTTCCCGTATCTGAATACGCATTATCCAAATACCCTAATATTCGAACATTCTACTATCCGAACATTTTGTTATCCGAACACAATGTCTTCTAGAAACAGATATCTTTTCCTGTTGCAAATATGTAATCATTGCATACAATGTATACATTCTTCTGTTTAATCGAATTCTGTGTAGTTACTTATGTTGAAGATTTTTTATAATTTAACAGCCAAAAATATATGGCATCCATAAATATTTAAACAGACTGTCAATTTTCTTGATCTCTGTGTAATGAATGAAGTTTGGTATCAGAAAAGCGATTATTCTATTATCCGTTTTCTTGATCCGAACACTTATATCTCCCTATTAGTTGGGATGTGTGAGGCTCTATGTAGTGTAATAATGGTTGAGCGTTATTCTCGGTGGAAAAGCAATCCATCTTATCCCCCTGTAAGAAACCGAATCCATCTTAAATACATGAAAAGCCGAATTACTGTCATTCGAACAAGATATTAAATCGATGGTAAGCATCGAATTTGCTTACTTCATGTAATACTAATCAAATTCATTGCGACTAGGTGGATATGATTCATAAATATAATGTCAAATTTTAAAGCTTTTACGTATAATGTAAAGTTACTAATATACTTTAGTTATAGCACACTTACCGAAATAAAAAATTACCATTGATTTCTAAACAGTAATATATGAACTCCAAAAATATACACGTAGATATTTTTTAATTAGTTTCGTACACCGTGCTTATTTCCGTTACAAATGCGAATCCTAAAATTTCTAAAATTCTAAAAACATCAAATGCATTTGCCGGTGCCATAAACCCATATTAACGCCGAGAGTTAACAATCGACATTCATACGAAGTGCAATCAATTGTTATTCCCAAATTCACAATGTTTTTTAGTGTTACTCGCAAAAATTACAAGTCGAAGCAATCGAAATTATTTTTTTGCTAATTGTATAAACACTCAGTAGCAGAAAAATATCCGTGCATGTACGTAAGTACATGTACTCATAGAAGCTTAGCCATGAGTTATGACGTAGGTCGGTACGAGAACCCAGGGCGGTTGTTAGTGGTTAATTATATAGTGGGATTAGCTTGGCCGACGCCACTGCAAACCAACCTCTGTAATTTTCTGGAGAGCGCAAATTCATGCGTAAAGCGTGCTACTATACATGGGTCCAAGGTACAGTAACGTATGAAAATGGCTAGTTGGATTTTTCACGACACAGTATATTTTCATTTTATGATACTATAGCACTTGCAAGACAGTTTCTTAACTACAAAAATCGATATCATAAAGAGGAAGAATATTCTAACAATAGTAGCGTTTGCACTCTATCTGAAAACTGTTTATTGACTTTGGAAATATACATCTTTGTATTAATTTTCTTATTAAAAATTGCAATCAACGTTTCAGAGTATATTTACATATATTTTAAGAACATTTATAATTTTTTATGTCGAAAAAAAGTAAAAATTGGTGACACTGCATGTCCTTCGTACACACACATACACACACACATACATATATATATTTACACATTTAGGGTAAACAGTAGCAATAATATTAGTTATATATATATTATACATATAGGAATAAGTAATGTAAGGAAACAACCATTTCTACTAAATTTTACTGTAGTCGCTAATAGCTATTAAGAAGATGCAACTTTAAATAAATAAATTTAAAACAAACATACCACAAAGTGTGTAAGATGTCGACAACACATATATGTAAAAAGCATTCAATAAAAGAACATACTATTTTTTGTACGCAGTGTATAGAAAGAAAAGGAATGGTACATTTACAATATGTTCAATCTTTTTGATACATCCGCTTCCTCTTTATATTGTAAGCATTTAGATTATATATTGTATCAAAAAACTAGGTCTAAAGAATTGGTGACCATCTGAGTAGTATTCATTGGAATAATGTTATAGCTAATTTAAATGTTGATGATGCACGTAACGTTATGTACGAGCATTTATTTGTTACTATTGTTTCGTTGGTTCTTAAATGTATTTATAAAAATTCTAAATACCCTAAATGGTTTTCTCCACAGCTGATCAAATTAGTAAAAGAACAAAAGCGAGCTCATTTGAATTTTAAGAGAACCTATTCCTTTTCTGACTACTAATGCTTTTCAAATCTACGTACTATGTGTAAGAAATTATCTAATAAATGTTATACCTCATATATGCATAATACCGAGTGCTCAATTCAATATAATTTTCAAATAAATTTAAATTAATTTTGACTTAAACAATTTTATCAAAAACATTAATATTTCATTTACAGAGCACTTATTCTTAGCAGAGAATTTATTTCTTTGCGTTCGTTTTCAATTAGAAAATGTTCTTGAATGTATAATACATACAAACAAGTTCCAACTATTAGCTACGGAAGAGTTACATGGCTACCAATAGGTACTAAATATCCAGATCTTGTAGCAATACATTAGTGAAGTATCACTTCCAATAGAATGTGAACAACGTGTTTGAAATATTCGTTCGGATAGCCAAAGTGAGTGTTTAATATTGCACGTTGACGTGGAAACATTGAAATACATAGGCAGTCAGGAGGCAACACATTTTCGCGACTGCAGAAAATTACACCCTGGGATTACGTGAACGTCACCTTTCGTCCCGTATCCGAGAGCAATCTCTCGTTGCTGTGACGTTGGCGTATAACGCGACATTTTGTGCGCAGATATCGGGGAAAAGTTTTGGCTGCAGACATCAGGCAGAACTGGGGTCAGAGCGCCGATGTTAGCTGAAATACGCCCGCGAGACAACGGCTGCTCGTATAAGTTTAATCCTACGCGCAATATAACCTTCCGGGACGTCCACCTCTCTTATACCCCTCTTTCTTCTGCATTTTCCAGACTTCTTACCAGTTCCTTATTCAATCCCTTATTCTTCGCGTGTTCTTTCGGTGCGACGTAATAAAGCGTTCAGTCTCTTCCCTTCCACTAAACTTATTTTCTTTAATTCACTTTTTTTTTCTTAAATTCAATATTATATAGAAATTATGATAAATTTTCCTCTTAATCCTCTTCATTATCTGACTTATGCATAAACTCGCATTTTGACTTTGATCCATAACATTAGAAAATAATATTCCGCAGTAAATAGCATTAATTCAACGTTCATACATTATTGTAA